CTGTCATGGTAATAAGATGCCGGTTATATTATTGGTTGCCTTCGTAGTAGTAAAGCTTTCAGCTGTCAGATTCAACCGAGATAAAAAATTATAGAAAAAATGACAAAAAACAATACAAATTTGAAAGCCCTCAAGAAAAGTAAATGTTACCCATGAAAACAAATAAAAAACATCCATTCTTTGTTACTATTTTTTTTTTAGTGAGATGTAACAGGCGTTGTGGCACAGTATGTATGAATTGTCTTCTTTTGCTCTGAGACACATATTATATAGTGAACCTGGTCCTTAAAACGTCCTCAACCCTATTTGTCCAATACGTATTTGATGAGGTATGCATCTCAACAATCTTGTTGAACATTAAGTTACATTATTGTGCATTCGCTTAATTATATCGACGATGCTTAACACTAGCTGATGATGCAAATTGTTTACTTAAATACGTTTGAACGGATATAAATGCTGATCCTGACATTAGTAATCTAGAGGAAATTTCCCTCTTACAACTCACAATTTTGTGGGTTTCGGTCTCTGTACAAATTAAAAATTAAATATCTCCGGCATATTCATCCACTCGTATGGAATGTGACTAAAAATGTCATCTCGAAGAGATTTTAGAGAGAATAGGACTTGATAAGTGAAGGGCTTATGACCGAAATGTATTGCCTGCAAAGAGGAAAAAAAATAGGGTTTACTCTATTTTTAACTATCCCCCTTAAGGTAAGCATCTTTTGCGATTTGAATCAGCGCATCCTTATTCTTGCCATATCCTGTCGTGTGAACAATTGTTTTGAGATACTCCTTCAACTGTACTATTGTTAGTCGGTGCCACGCATTACGATCGGCTGCAGCCCCAACGAGTTCTTTAATTTCATCAGCCGTATAGACCCCTCTTATCTCACTTTGATTATAATTGTTGTACTCCCCACGTGTGGGTGAGTCGGGTATAGGCGCCGGATTCTTACCCCAGGTGTCGCTATTCTTGTCGCTAGCATTGTCCTTGTATGCACGTGGACGTCGAGATGCACCTGCCGTGGTGCGGGGCTGCCCACACATTTTCTCTGCATCGTACGATGAGCCAAGGACGAAGGCGTTGAAGTCTTGAAACCGTTTAGCGTGACGCACCATAAAGGCCTTGTCCGGTAACGTCCAGTCGCGCACCGTCGTCAGTGCCACACACACGGCTTCGGAGTCTTTACACCCTGTGGGAGAAGTCGCGGACGGTGAAGTCCCCAACAAAGGCTCCCCCTCTACTTGTCCTGACATTGGGAAAGTGGGCTGACGTAGGACGAGATCCTCCATCAAGCGATGACGCAACTGTAGCGATGGATTTGGTACGGCTAATATGTCATAGCGAACACTGAGGGCGTCGATCACCCGACGGGCAAGCTGTATATCCGTCTCGGATACGGCGTCCGGGCTCAACCTGGGGTTAACCCCTTTGATACAGCTGGGCAGTACGGCGAGATCAGGTACGGGGTGGATGTCGTCTGCGTAGGGCAAAGGGACCATGAAAAACCCAAGCCCTTGGGTAGGCATACTTGTCTCGGGTATGGTATGCTGGCGGAACAAGGTAAAGTCTGGGGACGGTACCAAAGCCATAAGTCTGGGGGGGATATTTTTCATCACGTATTGCGCGATGGCAACCTTTCCTTGTGCACGCAGCGTTCGCACTAGTTGAACAAACAATCGAAGCGAGTTGTGACCTCCTTCGGATAAATTTGCATGCACAAAGGCAGAGTGATGAACGCTGTGTTTATGCTGAATCACGTCCTCGTACAGCTTAAAGCACACGATGGTAAGACCGTACTTACCTCCTGCAGCTGCTACCCTTACCAGCTTAGCTTGCTCCTCAGGGGTAAAAATAATGGTGGAGCCACCTATTTGTGCGGAGTACCGAAGCTCCTTAGGACTTAGAATGACATCCTGTCTGTTTGTACAGTTATCATGCCACCCTACGCTCTCCTCAAAATAGTGCTCAGCCTCGCTTGTGTGTGGCTTCCCGCCGTCACTACCATCACCACAGCTAATTGAATTTACTCTATTCGCTTTCAGAACAACTCGCCTGTTGATAGGAGCCTTCGTGGCCGCCTCCATCCATCCCGTCGATTGATCGGTGGCATGCAAAAGTGGTGAGTACAGGCTTACAGCCATGTGCGGCATATCCACGCCGTTCCTACATACGCCAATGAATAATTTGCAGTTCATAAAAGGTCGCTGCGGGTGGATCTTACGACCGATAGATTCTAAGAATCCCTCGAAAGAGCAACCTAAGGTACGGTCGATCCCCACAGTCCTGTCATGGCAGCCAGTATGACGATTACAGTTGTGGAAAGTCAACTCTCCCGTACCGAGGGAGTCAGCTTGCGGGCTGCGCTTGCCAAACTCATAGAGCAGTCGCTTCCAGAAGGCACACCCTAAGGGGACCGCGTTATCCACATTATCCATAAAAGCGTTGTTGTCCCTTGAGAGAAATGTATGCTCCCCCGCCGAGATACCTCTGGGAGTAGTAGCACTCTGCCTGTTGTGTTCAAGGTCAATAGCTGTTGCGGTGGTTGCAGCACTGGTTGGTGCCACCCCCTCCACAACCCGTTCCCCGACCCCCAATACCTCGATAAAGACACCCATATCGACTAGAACCTGGAAGCACGTAATGCACTGATCGTGCGCTGGCGTATTACCTTGAGTTGGGTCATCATCGTTGGTGAAGACGAAAATACACTTGCGTTTAATGGGCTTAGTACCAAGACCCGAGAACATGCAATGTGCCGCACGAAGCGCTTCGCTGAGCACCGGTAGATGGTGAGCCGGAAGGTGACCTACCTCTTGGACGAATTCCTTATAAGCATCCGAGCCAGGATCTGCCGCTGCGGTCGCTAGCTGCTCAATCGCATGCAAGTTACTTATATCCAACTCGCTAAATGAGTTGGATATATAAACACCTGGACATCCATAGGTATTCTTTTGGACTGCTGTATTGTAAAGAACAAGAGCTAGTACATCATTGTTGTTTGAAATGGATATGTTTCGATACAAGGAGCTTACCCCATGGAGCGCTCGATGAAAGGGGGTTAAATGCACAAAAGTAGAATCCATATCTTGGCAGCTGACGTTAACATCCTGGAAAGATGAGGTGAGTGGCGTGGATAGGTTACATTTCTCACCTTCGAATCTGTGCTCACCCTTCTGGTTCGGTTGGACTATGCTGTGATGGGTTTGGGTCGACAAGGAGAACATTTCACTGCGGCAGTCTACTAAACACAAAACTGCGTCCCCTTCAAATGAATATGGAGGGTCACCGTACGAGCCGCTGTCTTTAGCCTCCGTATGCTCATCTAGAAGAAAGTCCTCTTCTGCGAAGCCGATAGTTTCCTCTAACCAATCCGCATAGCTTGCCATATACACTATGAACGTTCCTTTAGCTCAGTACTCACCAAATTATATGGTTTGTAATCCTTGTCTTGTGCAGTACGCAGTTTATAGAAAAAAAAAATCCTTTACTAAACAATTTTCTATACTGTTTAAAACGTCATAAAATATGGTGAATAGTAATGAAATACCCATAAAAATATTTCATAACGGAAGGATCAAGCACGTAAATAATGAGTATTTGATAAAAATAAAGCAACCCAATAAAAATACACGTATTTTACATCACTAGTTTTACAATATTGGAATCTGAATTACGTCAGAATACCGGCTAACCAGACCCTTAAATATAGTAATTGGGAAAAAGAATCAGATAAGGAAAAAAAAACATAAAGGATGCAGTGGGGAGGATGGGGAAGATATGATCCGATAAACATACTGACAAAAAAAATAGAATTGAAGATATCTATATACTTCCTCCTTTTGTAAGAAAGTGAAAAAATGAAAATCGCAGTAGCATCTGGTGCAGGCTTGACGTACTGTCGAATTACAAAAAATTTTATAATATACAGTGGTAAGATAAATTGATTTGAAAAAAAAAATCATAGAACGAAGGTTTCATGAGTACGCCATATTTTTTAGATAAGGTAAGAACTAAGTGTATCCTCTCTATTCTTCACCCATTTCGCATACTCCTCAGGGGTAAAGTTTTGCATCGGACACGCCAAGGGCACCGCATTATGACCAAATTGTGTAGAACCAATGCTCGCCACAACGGACCGTACAGCATCATTTTCTTGAGCACAAGAAGTATCTGCTTCGGCAATGACCGGCTTACTGGACTTAAGTTCCCTCTGCCATAAATGTACTCCCTTCGATAGTCTGTAAGGAGTAGTCTTTCCAGTATCCATGGAATTTACCTCCGTGTAGGCTTCGGCCAAGTAATCAGGCCCCGCCTCAGACACAAGGAAGTTTGGCACGGCGATGGGCCGTGCGGTTTCCACTTCCGAGGAGTAGCAGATCCTCCGCATGTTCTCCAACACATGCCCCGCCTCATCACTAAAGTCTTGGCAAAGGCTCCCCGCGGCGTAGCGCGCGGTTGGAAAAGTGTCGGATTCGTTTTGAGTCCGCTCCCGTTCATCGGCCTGCTGCTTTGCGACGGCTTTCAGAACCTCAATATCCTGCTGCATGGAGGACACGATGGCATCGGCGTTTTCAACATCTGGCATCACAAAGTCCCTTGGGTTGAGCTCATCCGCCGATCTGAGGGGGGACGCCATCTCCTCTTCCTCGGCATTCGGCATTGCAGGACGGGTGCCGGCAAAGGCAACAGAAGGATGTGTCAGCAGGGATGATTGGGTGAGATCGAGAGAGGAATGCCGGTAAAATGGCTCCTTTGACGTACTGCTCAGCGAGTTTCCCTTGATCCGCATCGGTAAGTTTTTATCTATTTCGAAGCTGACCATGTTGGGGTGGTTTAGCGAACCATAGCGGTCCACAACAAGCGAGGTCTCATGCTTCTGAAAATGGTCCTCTAAAACGTTTTTTTTCAACTGCGCGATATTTGGCGAAGAGAAATGACATGCAAAAGAGGAGTAAGAACCTCTTAAAGAGTTACATGTTTGATTCGTCGCACTGTAGGACCTCGGTTGAGATCCAAGGGGAAAAGATTGGGAATCCTGCAGATCGTGCTCAACTATGGAAGAAGACCTCAAGTTTGAGGTCGCGATGTTGGGAACCGATACGGCGGCGGATTCTAACGCGGATAACGAGGCATCGCTTTTTAGTTCTGGAGTGCTAGTGGGCTGATGAAGGTCACTGCTCGTCCCCTCAGCGGTGACAGCCTTTAGCAGCCGCTCCAAGACTGGAGCCCGATGGTCCATCATAGCAGGCCTTCTCTCTGCTTTCGAGTGCACAAGGGCAGTAATAGACTCTCGCTTGATAGATAATGTTTCAGGTAGTGTGAGATTGTATTTTTTATGCAGTAGGTTTATCATTTTATTGGGACTTTCTTTTAATAGGCGTAGAAAAGACTCCCTCTTTTTCTCACCACGATCTGAAACACTTGGCGTGATCATTTCTCTATGGAAGGGTGACAACGAGGCCCCTCTGCTCTCGCTTAGGTGCTGGCTATTAGATGGGCCCGCTATCAAATCTTCCTCATCTTCCTGTGAAATATTTTCCTCATTAGATAACCGCTTCCTTTGCGCAACGGTGGACCAGTGAGATAGAGCATCAGCGCGTATTATCGTTAATAATTTCAGCGCTTTATCCCTCTCCAGATCGATCGCTTGTTTCTCCAGTTGGTTAGCAGAAGGCTTATTTACATCCTCGTCGAAGCAGACAGCCGCAAAGTAAAAGTTATGCTTATGGAAACGGTCATTAGGGGTTATAGCCATGGTACGTAGACGAGCACGATGCGCAAGGGGACAAATAGAGACATCAGGATCAACCAACGATACACAGGACTGAATATCATCGATGCTCGGCAACTGTAGCACATAGCCAATGGACAATGCCTCTTCCATGGTGATGACCGCCTGAGGTTTCTCTGCCATCAAAAAAAGGTGTACAGGGGGAAGTCGGTCCAGATATATCTGTAAGGCGTTGGCCTGATCCGCGCGTATTTTAGTTTCCACAACAGGTGAGCTTCCCGCAACATTAATCTGAGTAAAAGGATTTCGAGTAGGTGGTGACTCGATCATGGTGCTCACAAAAGTCTTTCCTTTGGACGACTGCGATCTTGGATGGCTGTGTTCCCGCCCACTTTTGTTTTTCTCGGCCTCCATAGCCTTATCGCGCTCATTCATCATATTAAGATACTTCTGCAGAAATGGTGGAAGGGAGGTACCTTTGCCACTTCCTTGGTCGCACACGCGTGTTTTATTATAACGATTCAGTCGAGGATTAATAAGGTTTCCCTCTGCGCTTGAAGGAGACTGCAGACGCTTTGGTTTAGAAGACCCATCCTGCCTGGAAGTTGAGGAGGGTGGGCGACGCGGTGGATGGGGCCCGCGTGACGGGGCAGAGGCAGTGTCCATCTTTAGCAAAAAGGCTCCAAATCCAGTGTTAGCGCGGTACTGTGACTTTTTCCGGTGCGAAGGTGGCAATCCACTCAATATCTTGGTATTTGCTATGGACACATCTAAGCTTGCATTCTTGCCGTGTTTCTTGTGTTTGGTTGGCACTGAAGTAGATCGATTAAGCCGCTCCATTTGTTCATGGACACACTTGTCGATGACAACCGAGAGGGGTGGGACTCGACGTTTCAATGAGCCACTGATCGACTTAGTGAACATTGCGGAATTCACTTGACTTTGGTCATAACTCGCAGTCAGTGCCTCAGGAACTGAGCACACGCTCACGGGATCCCCGCCAAAGGTCTTAGCATGAGCATGCTTCATCTTGGATAAAATGTATTTATGAACGATACCATCATCCCCAAAGTCCTTGTCAGCGATTCCAGTCTTCTCTGAGGAGATAGTAGCGTATTTAATGTCTTCAAGCTTGATACGGCTGGCGTGAAGAAAGCAGAGGGCTTTAAGATGAATCTCTGCCAGGCGTTTCGCGAACGCCACGTAGCCGAAGCCGCCTGGAGGTGGCTCCACAATGGGCATGCACTGCTGTCCAAGTAAGTTCGTGTCCACCTCTGGGACAGGTGACCGAAAGAGATGTTTCATATAAGCAAAGACCTGGCCGTCGGCCCTGCCCGAGAGAATGTGCAAAATCTCAATTCGTTCTAGCGCATCAATCAGATCCTCGCGTCGGAGCCGCCAGCACTCTAAAATAGTCTTTGCAGAAAGCGCAAACGGCCAGCGGTGCGGAATCAGGCAGCTCTCGCCGATGACATCACCAGGGCCATAGGCGATCGTACCGCCGCTAATGGAGATCAGCTGGCCACGCGTCACGAAGAGCATCTCCTCACACCGCTCCGACGTACTCGTGACGAGGGACCCTAAGGAAAAGAAAACCGGTTCCAGACGCTCCTGCACCAACCGCAGCGCGACATCGTTGAGGGCGCGAAAGAGTGGCGAGTGTTCGCGCAGGTGGTTCGCAATGGCAGGCGTCAGGCGCTGCTCATCTAGCCACTGCCGGCGCCTCGCCGAGGCCTTGGCAAGGAGGGATTGCTGGAGTGCGTCGTCGCGGCGGGTGATACTTGAAAAGTCCTTGTGCGGAAGGCACCAGATGTCGCACGCCTTGTCGGCAACCAGCATGTGCGTGTGTGGCTCACCAAACAGTAAGGAAAGCTCTCCAAAGATGGTGCCCGGCTCCAAGATCTCCAGCACACGCCCCTCCTTATTGGGGTGCCGACTGCTTTCTTGGCAAACGCAAATCATTTCATTATCCTTTGGGAGAATGCCCCCAGCCGCCGCTTGCGCTACGCCATTTGTGAGGGAGGAGGCACCAACAATTAGTATGCGACCACGACGCAGAAAGCAGAGTTGGCGCACCCCGCGCATGCGATAGCTATGTGGGCATGCGACTATTTCGCCTGGTAAGTATACTTGGGGCCTCAAACATGAGATTAGATTGCGAATGGTGAAATCTGAGATGTCCCGCAGAAGCCAACTTTGACGCATGAAGAGAGCATTCAACGAGTAGTGGCCTGACAAGACCTTACTATGGGCAGTCATAAGAACGCTCGCCAGTGTACCTTGCCGCCCAGTTGTTTTGTGGTGGTTCCATCCCCGCTCCGCATCCTGTTCGCGCTTGACAAGAGCGAGCAAGGCCTCATGCACGTCGAGAAGGCGGAAACGCACGATATCGGTGTAACCTGAAAGATCGTCATCCGCCATATTTGTGGCGTCCGCCGAATAATTCGAAGAACCACCGGGCCCGCTAGGATTGCCGACCGCCAAACAACTGACGTGCTTAGAAGGGGCCAACCCCAGAGCCTCCGCCGCCCCCAGTACGCGCGGGGCACGAAGCACCTCCTTGCGCAAGGGCTGTAAAGTGGATTGCCCGCGGGGAAGGCTCACATGTATCAACGATCGCCGAATCGCTGTTGTCATGTTCATGGCCGACGCTGCGTCGGTTTCGTTGCCGGTGCCCCCCGTGGGCTCCCCGCCGTCGGCGGGAAAGGCCCAATCGGAGCCACCCGCCCGCATCACCTCCGGCACCGACGCGTTTCCGCCCACCAGAGGGAAGGTCTCCTCCCGCGAAGTGAAGTACTGCTTCCGCCCCACCATGTGAGAGCGGGAGATATCCGGGTAGTAGTGGGTGAGCTGCACAG